TGGTTACTGGACATGGAACAGATTCCGGATATGCCACCTGAAAAACATCGACATTGTCACAGGTGAAAAGTAAGGTTTCAGAAGAGACCAAAGCACGAACAGGTCCATTTTCCCATATCTTAAATACGCACATATGGGAAAGACACACAACGTCGAGTCACCTATACTCTCAATGATGTCATGAACAAGCGTAAGCACTCCATGCACTAGTAGAATGCTTACCGTGAGAAGCGCAGGTATGAAAAACATTCCACCTGCTTTTACATGGCCATACTGAAACTGTCACTCAGACGCCAGACGGAACATCTAGTCGTCTCCATCGATAGATCTTACAGTACCGTTTTATTGTTTAGCGTCACCATGAATTACGTAGAGAAATCCTTGACTGGCCTTCGCAGAACCTTCGCTCGCTGAAAAAGCACTTAATGAAAGTAAACCGGTACTGAAAGCAGGGCGGAAGTACCAGCAGAAATTCTAGGTGTCTCACAGACCCTCGTCTCATCTTTAGATCATAGATGAGGAGTCAGATAATAAACCCAATCCAACATCTCATCCTATCACAATTCAAATAGCAGACTTAATTGGAAAAAATGCGATGAAATACGACCACATATTAACATTTGATGTACAACGGTGTCCAAGTTGCTACTGGGCCTCCATAACACTTACGAAATGCAACACCAAATATGATCTGCAACCATAAGAACCATACGAATAATGCGGCGTGTTTATCTGCACTAGGAGGCCAGTACTAAGGAAATCTTGGTACACCCTTCCTGAAGGTATTTCCCTTTGTTGGATGAACGGACATCCGGCAACTGACTTGTCATTGTTGTGGACGTCCCAAGAACGCAAGTCCACAATCTCCAATCTTCTATCATGTTGAAAGTTACATGGCAAGCGCCTGTTCGGCAATCCATTAAGGGTGTCAGCGCTAGAAACTACTACTGATGTCTCCTCAGCGTTCATTCAGCCCAACGGATGCATTAGTGGAACACTTGGTAAGGTTTTGGTCACTGCCAGATATTAATGACAGGTGGCGGTAAACAACATCTCGAAAAGCCGTTACCTGAACCACTTCCAAATCCTCACTTCAGTGGCAATGGTAAACAGATATCACTTCACTATATCGTAATATCAATACTTCGAACAATAATCTCATCAATATCACCTCCGTATTCGAAAGAGATACGAAAGCCTCAAACAGGAAACAGCAAGGCAGAACGAAATACGCTGGACCTGTTGTCATTAATCGCGAGGGTAGTCTTATTATGAATTTCATAACGAAGGATAAGGATAACCACAGACTAGAAACCAACATAAAACATATCAACACTGCTCGAAGACCTCCTTAACCGTTGGAGGATGAAATCCAGCCCGTGATATGACCACCGATTCAACGACACATCGACGTCA